AACACAATCTAAATTGATGGTAGCAGTGGTTTTAGGAAGCAGATCCTCAGTATGGGATTCTAGAATTAAATCATTCACCAGCTACATGGTAACAAAGACTCCACTGGTAATGGGCTGTATATCAGTAATATTGGAGTAAAAAAAAAAAAAACAACAACTGTTCTGAGGCTGTAGCATCACACCTGTCAAGATTTCATCTACGGTGATCAGAGCACAATATAGACAAGAGTGGAGGCACCGAGCCTTTCAGGGATATAGCAATTGGAAGGGCTAGGAGTTGGTTGGTTATTGTTGAATTCACTGAAGGAAATGACAGCCTAAAATCAACAAAGTATCAACTAAGGGCAGAGTGTGAAAGCTAGAAGCCTTCTATGGCAGTTAATAAAGAGAGTCCATCTCCTATAGTGAGAAAGTCAGTGTGTATTAGAAATAGGCACAGAATTTGCTTTTGAGAGTCACATACTTGTAATTACAAAGGAGGCTGCATTCACAGCCTTGGCAAGTTTCTACACAAAAGCCAGGGCACTGATAGGCAAAGAATAGGACCCTAAGAGAAGGATGCAGACATCTTGGTCGATGTAATTGAGAACAATGAACTTCCTGATTCCCCTATACCCTCTGAATAGGCAGAGGTAACCTCTTCCCCTCAGAGGGTACTAGTTTCTCCATTCCTAGAGATCATAAAGGATGACACTTGCTCTCCTTAAGATCTGATTCCATCTCCCCTCATGGCTCTAAGCAACAGAGGCCAGGTCTCAACATGATCCAACTGGAAAAGTAGCCTCTACTCCAAGAATACAAAAAGAGGGTGGATATTCAACAAAAAAGATGTAAGATATACCTGATATGGACCAGCAGATACTGGGAGAACATGCCAAGGAATGGATCTTGAAAGATCTTGAGGCAAAACATACCTGGTCATCAACCTGGTGTGGAGCAACAAGTAGCCTGAGATAAGAAAACACCTGGACTACGGCACTGTGACAAATGGCTTGGCTAGTTCACCAATGCCATTGAAGGAGCAACGTTGGAAGACCCTCCCCAATCAGCGTTCTGGAGAAGCAGCATGAGTTCAGACCTATGGGAGCAGGCATAAAATGTACAAATCTCTTTGTCTCACATCCATGACCACTAGAGAGCATTCATCCCAGAGGAGATATTGAACAATTGAGTGGGTAAGATGACTTGTCCAATGGAGGTCATTCGGCCTTTGTATGTGGCAACTGTAAGGCTAGCAAAATGGGATCGTGAATTATGCAGCCTGGTAGCAGACAGAAAGAGGATATACGTGGGTCTACAAGCATAGGTTCTTTCTCACCAAGTGTGATAGGGCTACTGCCACTTGTGAATGGCCAACCCATTGGAAACTGTCCAATGCTGAGTCTTCAATATAGTGTCACCTTTCAAAAAGACAACCAGCAACTTGATGTCAAATAGATTATATTCAATTGTACCCCTCTGGAGGAGAGGTTGGGTAAATTTTCTGTTTCTTATTATTGATACATATTCCAGTTATGAGTTCCCCTTTCCTGTTCACAGTGCCTCATTCCTCTGGGTTCATCATACTGCCTGATTTATCATCATGGAGTGTCATCATGGAATCCTGAATAACATCTCCTCAAACCAAGCAACCTATTTATGGTAAAGGAGGTCCAATAATGAACAAATGATCATGGGATTCACTGGGTCTATCATATACTACATCACTAGACATTGCCAGCCTTATAAAACATGAAGACTATCTCTTATATGTGTAACTAGGGTTCCAGCTTGGATATCTCAATCTTTGAGTTGGAATATTGTGCTGCAAGATGCAATATGTACTTTGAACCATGTGCTATGTCCATTGATGTGATGGTACCACCTTGTGTCTCCTCATAAAAAACAATGGTTAAATTTTCCAGGAATTTTTAAAGCCAGTTGACCTCACATAGGTAGTTTGAAATTGGCCAAGGTAGGAGTATTTATATTATGAAAATTAGTAAATGCTTAAATGCTACAAATCAGGTTTTGCATCCCTACACTGGCTCTGCCCTAAAAAGGCAGAATGCATTAGTGTGGGAACCAAGGGACAGAAGTAGGAATAACTCTCAACATAACTCAAAGTGGTCCACAGGGAAATGTGTATTTCCTGTCCCTGCAACTTTACTTTATCGAAATAAATGTTTTGCTTTCCAAGAATGTGTGTGTGGGTGTGGGTGAGGTGGTGCCCTTACCGGGGTCATAGTAAAAATTTCACTAAACCTAAATTTATAACTGGATATTTTGGGCCTCTCATGCCAGTAGACCAACATGCAAGAAAAAGAAAAAAAACCTACTAGTAGGGTTCCAGATGACAAGGAGCTTATCATGAGGGTTGCTGCTATATAATATAGGGAGGGAGACCTATGTATAGAACTCAGGGGATTCATTCAAGCACATCCATGCTTGGTGACTACTGTGAATGGACAATTGCATGGACAACTGTTTGAATGGACATAGAAACCATGGATGTGCAGGCCTCTGGAATAAAAGTTTGGGTCATCCCACCAAGCAAGCCATCAGCAAAAGAGTTGGCCAAGGGTACAGGGAAATGAGGAAGGGCATTAGAGAAAAGATGAATATAAATTATGGACTTAGTTCTAACTCTAGCATCCCACTTTCGTGATGTAGTATGGTTTTATTTGTTTGTTTGCTTTGTAATTGTAGCCAGTTGCCATCTTTAAAGATCAGTGACTGGATACAGTGGACACAGGCCAGGCTTCACTACTATCACCTGCGACTTTTTGATGCCATCCTCCCTCTTGTTCTGCTCACAGGTGGGAAAGGCTGGTATTTCAAACTTCAGCTCCTTTGGCCTTTAGGCAGAATAACTTTGAAGCTTATATTCTATACAGTTTCTAGGACTTCTCGATAGGATTAAGTTCCTTGAAATTGAATCAAGATCCTTTAATTGACTCCCTTCCTTTCTTCCCTGGCCTCACTTTCCCACTCCTTCAACTGAAAGTGTTTCCTGGGATCATGTCCCAAATGAACTGCTTACACATGAATCCATGAGTATGGAGCAGGAAGAAGACAGATTAAGAAATTAACCATATTAACATCTGCTGGTTTTATATAAATTCCATTAGATATGCCAAATCTGTACGGAATGCGATGTTTTTACAATTTTCTCTTTTGTTATGCCAAAGATCATTATTTTGTTAGCAACCATTCCAATGTCTTTGTAACAATATGTTTATGTACAAATGAAACTAAATTACTGTCTTTTCTGATCATTTTGTTTGAGAGATAAGCATTACATTTTGTTGAGTAAGTGGTGAGATAACACACAGGGTCATATTATATTGTAAAATGAGACTAACATGAATCAGAGATCTTATGTATGTCAAGTTTTACTAAATAATATAAAAAAATATGGACAAGCTAAGGAGCGCTAAAGGTTCAGATGAAGCATAAAAACATCTGGACATGGAGAGCGACTCTCCAGGTGTTAATGGGCTGAATTGTGTCCCCTTGAAATTCATAGATTGAAGTCCAAACCCCAGAACCTGAGAATGTAACAGTATTTGAAGATAAGGTCTACAAATAGGTGATTAAGTTAAACTGAGGTGGTTAGGTTAGGGACATAATCCAATATGGCTGGTGTCCTTATAAGAAGAGGAAGAGACACTAGGGGGGGTCCATGCACAGAGGGATGACCATGGGAAGACGCAGCAAGAGGGTGACCATCTGCAAGCCAAGGAAAGAGGCCTCAGGAGAAACCAACCCTGCCAGCGCCTTGATCTTGACCTTTCAATCTCCAAAACTTCTGTAGTTTAAGCAATCCAGTCTGTGAAGTTCTGTTATGGCAGCCCTAGAAAACTAACAGAACAAATCCTTCCTTACTGTGTTAGAGACACCCCTCTAGCTGAGATGGAAAGAGGTCTCTAGAATAGGTTTGCAAGGTTCCAGGTAAAGCAGAAGTATTTAAACAATGAAATATCTCCAGCTGATTACCCAGGAAGTTATACTACCTACGAACATTTGTCAAGGAGTCTTGCTTCATCAATAGGGGTTCTATTTATTAGAGTTACCCTCAGCCAGAGATATCTCACTAAACGCATTTTAGAAATAAATCCACTTCCTCTTAGTAAATATCATGAGCCTAGTTACCTGGAGGTCTGGTTGACAAGAGCGTAAACCCGGTTCTCCTGCCTACTCCTTTCCCCGGGGGTGCCCTCGCAGTGAAGGGAGAAAATTGATGGCAGCCCACTTGCTTTAACCTCTTCCTCCCAAGTGGTTTCAGAGACAGATGCAGTCTCGCATGTTCAATACAAAATGACTTCACTACAAATTCCTCTCCCTTCACCATCATCTCTATGAATATATCCACGTCAAATGTGAAATTATATCCATGAGATTTTTGTCTAAATTCTATGAGTTAAAATCAAACATGGCAACATTCATTTTGTCCTATTTCATTTGTTTCAGAGTTCAGTACTCCCCAGCGACTGGTAGGAAGGTCTAAGATGGTTCGGAGGAAATAAAACTTTAAAAGAAGCACATGCAAATATCTACTGGTTCTCCCATTAATTAAAAATAAAAACAACTTTAAAAACATAATACATTATGGATATGTGTCATGTATGAAAATGAACATTACAATGAACAGAAAACTGCCATATAATCATGCTGCCAAGTTGCTACTAATTAGGATTTACAATGATTTCAATGAATATAGGAGTTCATGTCACCTGTTTAAACTTTTCTGAGTGAAGGAGAATATGTGTAATATTTTTCCTTCATATGCATTCCTTCAAATCTTCATTCATGGTTAAAGCCTTAGACATTCAAAAAAGACCTCGGCATGGATTTATAGGAGGATTAGTAACAAGATAGGAACAGCTCAGTAAGGTAGTTTTGCAGAGGTCAGAACTACGTCAGCCTATCTATGATAAAACACCATGGAGTATATAAAGTCAGAAGGACCTAGAAATTACAGATTGAATTCACCAAAAATGCAGTCATCTTGTACTTACTGAAGCTACATTCACAAAATCGTCATCTGAGAGGGTTTCCAACATTTCGGAGACAGACGTTCGGATCAGTTTCAGTGTCAAACCACTTACACTACCGCTCCTATAAAAAAAAAAAAAATGGGTCCATGCATGTTAATGATCATGCATTTAATCAAAACCAGAAACTCTAAGGAAAGGCAACTTATATACTGGCTCTAGATCATTTATATAGTATTCAAATTATTCTGTCTTTAAAAAAATCAATAGTAGAAAAAGTCATATTTTAAGAGTCACAATAATTTAAATAAATCTTGTCTTTCTTTCCTACCAGCACCAGAATATATATATATATATATATATATATATATATATATATATATATATATATATATATATATATTTCTACCAACAATGATAAACATTACACATCAAGTCACAATTTTAAGGAAATATGGATATTCATGGTATGTCCATTTATTCAAGAAACATATACTGAATACCATATATGAGGGTTTATTGCCTCTTTATGTTAACAGATACAGTCACTGCAGTAGGAAACCCATTGTGTAACTTGATTAAACCAGTAATTATGAAGCAGCATAATAATTATGATAATAAACAGATTTTTTTCATGGACAAAATGCTTTGTTTTGTATCCTAAAGTAGACTCTGGGGTTTAGTTTTCATTTTTTTTTCTTGTCTGTACATATTTTATGTTCCTCAATCACCTCATCAATTTGTGGGGCTCATTTGTAGACAACTCTCTGGCAATTCTGTATCTCTAGTTCCTGACTTTTTCCCAGTTTTACACTTCACTGCTTCTTAAACAACAGACTCAATGTCCAAAATGACAAATTACTCCAAAACATATATTTTTATTTCCTATTTTTGTTCTTAGTAGCAACCAGGCTAGATCTCAGGCATCCAATTCCCTCCTCCCTGCCAACCTTCCTACGCCTTCAGACAATCTCCCTATTGATTCCACTTTACAGTGTTCCCAAGATGGTGGCCTCTCCATCCCCTCTTCATTCTGGCTCAGGTCTTTGTTACCTAAAGATCTAGTGCTATGGTAATAGCCATGATATCTTGCTCTTAGTCTCCTCTCCTCCCCATGCAAACAGGTGAAAATTCTGGAAGCAGCTTGAGCCAATACTGCTAGTAGCTCATAGTTACCTACTAAATAGCCAACAATCTCAATAGGCCTGCATTCGAAAGCTTTCAGAATCTTCTTCCTTCACCTCCTCAATATGGTTCCCCTAGATGTCCTCACCTATGCCACTTTGCTCCTGTTGATTCTTCCACCGGAAATTCCACTCTCTTTTCTCTCTCCTCCCAGGCATGCCAGACTAAATCTTTGCTATAATAATTCAATTACAAGTTTATTTTCTTAATGAAGTCTTTCCTGACACTTTAAATCGAAGTGCTAGCTCTCTTCCATGGACTCCTTTAGTGCTGTGCCACATCTCATGTCTATCACCCTCTACAATTATTTTAGTTATTTGTGAATATGGTTTAGTTTCATTAATACATTTCGATTATCTCTGAGATCTGGGATCACATTTTTGTCATCTATGAATCTATATTATCACATTGTGTATGTGATGAGACCCTCAACACATTATGTTGAAATACTTTTTAAAAACATTATTTTAACTTCACATACATTTTCAATTTTGGTATATGCATGTGAGTTCCAAAGATTTTAATATGAGAAATTATTTCTGGAAATTATCCAATAGGATTATAACATATTACATTACTGTTTAGATTTATACTTAAGAATATCAAGGATTATTGTATGATATAAACTCCATAATAATTTAATTAAAACTAGATGTAGCTTAAATGCATTTTAACAAATGAAATGAGAATTAACATTTAAGTTATACTTGTCAGGTTCATTTATCTTCTCTTTCTCAGGCTAGGTTATATGGTTTTGAACTTGTTTACTTCAGGTCAAAATGAGAAAATGTTCAAATGTTGATACTAGCCTGTGATATGGATTTAGTTGCCTACAAAACATTGGAATCTGTTTCTTCCAGTGTGGCAAATGATATATAAGGGTGTACTGTTTTCTCTTAGGAAAAATAATCAAAGCATTTTATATTTCATGTCTTTAATTCCTTGGTAATACTCTTAAAAACTAAATCTCCATAGCC